TATTGTGTTTATTAATGACATCCTGGTCTATTCCAAAACCCAGGAGCAACATGAGGAGCATCTGAGGGGGGTATTGGAGACTCTGAGGAGGGAGAGACTGTATACGAAGTTCAGTGTGAGTTCTGTTTACGCGAGGTGTAGTTTCTTGGGCACCTTGTCAAACAGAGCGACATTCTAGTCGATCCGACCAAGTTCGATGCGGTGATGAGGTGGGAGGTTTCGAGGTCAACATTTGAGATTCAGAGTTTCCTAGGATTGGCAGGTTACTATCGGAGATTCATTCAAGATTTCTCCAAGATAGTGGTTCCTTTGACTAAGTTGACGAAGAAGAACATCACGTTTTCTTAGTGGTCTGAGTAGCAGGCAAGTTTTGAGAACGATAGCTTGATTATTTGTACATATTTTAGCAATCTTTTTCTTTTACTTTTAGCATTTTTAATATTCTTTTTGTATTAAATTGTTAGATTTATTGTTTTGAATATTTTTACTCGTTTAAGCTAATTTTGTGTAGACTTGTTCGAGCAATATGGTATTTTTGAGCATCGTTAAAGACACATCGAATTCCTTGCAACCACGATTGAAGTCTCGTAGCAAAATCCGGGAGCGAAAAGAAAAAACAAAGCAATATAAATTAATTTTTCGGAGTTTGACAGATTTACGGGGCTTTCTTCAAGCGATCAGACGGAGGGGAAAACGTTGTCCGATTGAGCTTAAAATTTACGGACATCTTCCTAACTTGTTGATCTCCAATCTCAACGAAAAGAAATGGATTCAGACTAGTTTAGATATAGTTTTCGGCCTTGTGAACAGGTGGACAGAAGGCTGCCAACATCAAATTTTGGTACCCCAATAAAGCATATTTATCAACCCAAATAGGAGTTTCCTGGAGCCCATTATCTTTATTAATTCAGCAGCCCATTTTGAAAAGTATGAAGCCCACTTTGAACTTCTTGTATTGGGAATTGAACGCAAACATCAAAAGAGCAGTAGGGCATCTCATTTCATTTTGGCCGGCAGTAGGACTGTAGGAGTAGGAGGGAGTGACGGCGCCTTTGGTGTCTCCTCCTTTCTTTTCCTTTCTTATTTTTGGAATTCAAATAATATTATCATTGATATATTTTTCATTGATTTTATTATCTTGTAATTAGTTATTTCCATTAGATTAGGTTAGGTTAATTTTTGTATTAATACTTGGATTATGAATGAAGTTTTTTGAGCAACACGAAATAATGATTTCAAGAAGCTTTGTAATATTCGTTTCGTAATCGGTATTGGTATAATTTCTATCATTTTTATTGTCATCATTATTACGTGTAGTTAGTTTTTATTTTCAATATTGGGTGAATCTATAGAACAATTAATTGATTAGGAGTAGTTTTATGTGGTTTTGATGGTATTCTATGAAAATGTTTTCTAGTAAAACATCTATTTATGTTCATATGTCTTTAATCATGAGTTTAGATGTGTGAATGTTTAATTAGTTTGTTAATTTATTGATTACGAAATAGATCTTTAAATTAACAAGCAACAATTGGTTCTTGTGATTATTTGTTTTTCTTTCACACAATCATGAAAATATTTTCTCCAACATGGTAGTGAAACCATTTTGACTCCTCTTATATTTGGTGACTTTTAAATCTTAATGCTAGTTAATTTTCATAATTACATTACTTATACTTCATGAAAATTATGACTTTAACTACGAACTGTGTTATGCGCTTCTCTAACCATTGTACTAACTAAGAAAAGTCTAGGTGATCTCAAGCTTCTTAGATTGCTATAGCCAAATTAGGATCCATCAAACTCATTGCACCACAAAATTATGATGATTAGTCCAATAGTTGAACTTACGATTCATCCCGACATTGGAACATTTTTGTTTTATAAATTTTATATTTTGTTATTTTAGTTTATATATATATATATATATATATCTATATATATATATATATATATATATATAAATTAGTTTTATCGCATTAAACATTTTGAAAACCCCCCATTTCATTTTATATTTTTATTTTATAGAAACTGAATGCATAGATTTCATTCGAACCAATCTCTGTGGATTTGATCCCTATTACCGCTACTACAATTCATTTTTGTATGTCGTCGTATTTAGGTTTTTTTTATTTGGTGGTCTCGACACCCACCAAATTGTTGGCACCGTTGTCGAGGTTTGGTTATATTGATCGATTTTTTTTCTATGCTCAAGATTTTATATTATATTTTTTTATGTCTTTCTTTTATTTTTGTTTTTGTTCTCATGTATTTTTAGGTTGTATATATTGTCACATTTTTAGTTTGCATTGTAGATCATATTCTATCGAACATTCCAAAAAAAAAAGTTTATTATTTTTAGAGTTTTCATTTTAACATTGCATTTAGCTTAAGTTTTGCATGCATTTTTTTTTCTCATTTTTATATAAAACCCAAAAGGATTTTAGTTTCTTCTTTTCAATTTTTTTATAGCAGAACATTTAGTTTAGATTCATTCTCATGCATTTTTGTTGTCTCTTTTTCTCACCTCCGAACATCTCTAATTACAGGTCTTAATACACCGAATGTGCAAATCTTTTTGAAATAGTAGAATTACGCATAGGGACCTTCATTTGTCACACCTTCTTATAACACACATATGGTAGAGTACAAGAAATTTATGCAAGTGAATCGACTTATTGCAAGCATGACATGACGCGTGAGACAACATAGCCCTAAATCCTTAGAAGCCGTCCCCCACGAGCGTATTACTTATTAAGCATAACGATCTTCCAAAGATGGAAACAAGAACTATAACTTGCTATTTTGAGATCTTTTATGTATAGTTATTGCATTTAATGTCATCTTACTCTATGGTATAAACATATTTTCCATTTGATCTCAATCGAGTTTTTACTTAGCTTTTGTACTTAGCTTTGTTAGTTAGTTGTGCTGGTTGTAGCTTGTATATAGATGTGTTTTATATTGTTTTTTTTTATGTTACATTTGTAAAGTTCATTGGTAAAGTAAAAAAGTGAGCCCTAAAAAACAAAAATAAAAAATAAACGACAACTACCCCCTTTACTATTGTCTTATGTTTATGTGTTAGATTCTATGTGATTATGTTAGTATTTTGTAAATTGAAAAATCTAGATGTCTTGATATTGAACGTTATATCGAAAAGTTTTGTATTGTTGTTATTTCAATATTTTTGGGTAGACATTTAGACAAAATCTATGCTATACCAGTCTTTTTTTTTATTATTTATTTATTATTATTATTTATTTATGTTTCATTACGAATCAAGTTTAGAACTTATGTAAAGTCTAAAGTTCATTTTTGTGGATTTTAGTTTTTAAACGTCTTTAAAAATGTTTAGAAAAATCGGATTTTATCACGACATAAAAGCGTGAATAAAGTTAGATGTTTTTAGTATTTTCAAAATTGTGTTTTATAGGTTTTATGATAGTAGTTTAAGTCTTTGTATTTGTATTCATAATTGTATATTTGGGGTTTTTTTTCTAGAAAAATTATAAAAAAAATGAAAAAAAGAGAAAAAAAGGGTCGGGCCAAGCGAGTTGCATTCTTTTTTTATTTTATTAGATGTTTAGAATAGATTTTCTTATATATTTCATTTCTATTTTGATGTATTTTCTTATATATTTCATTTTTTTTATTTTGTTTGGTTTGTCATTCCCGATTTGTTCCGTTATTGTCTTCCTTGAGGACAAGGAAAGGTTCAAACTTGGGGATGATTTTTTATTTTCATTATTATTAATATATATATATATATATATATATATATATATATATATATATATATATATATATATATATAAAAAATGTCCTAAGTTAGCAACATTAAACTTGCTTGGGTTTTGACATATTTGATCCACAGCCTTTACATATTTTCCATTGTTGCCCTTCTGGTTTACATATTTGACTGGTCAATGGCTTTCATTGACTTCTACTTCCACCGCGGTTTACATATTTGACTGGTCAATGGTTTCATTGACTTCTACTTCCACCGCCCTTGCTACCCATGGGATGCTTACACAACTGCTTCCACCGCCTCAATTTAGATAGCTTTTCCCCCACCGTGTCTTCCTTCGGTTTCCTAACCATTCTTTATGTTAATTCTTCATTCATCACAATGGTTATCAGTTTCTCTGGAAAGCTCCTCCACCGTCATCATCTACTGGCCTTCGTACTGTTATCTCCGTTTTCCCTTTAATTGTTCTTCTTGCCCGAAGTAAACCCTCACCATCTTCATCGGTGGTTGTCGCTTACAGTGATGGTTGACCGACATCTGTATCCTCCACCGCTCTTTGTCTTCCCGATTGTTCCACTTTTTTCTGCTTCATCTCCCTTCACTCTTACTGATCCAGACCAACCTACAATCGGTGTCACACCTTTTTTTTTTTTTTTTTTTCCAATCGGTGCTATTCGAGAGAAAAATCGAAGCCGAAGGTAAAGCGAAATTGTCCGGACGATTCCACCTTCATCGGCTTCGTTGCTATCGACGCCTCTCTCACTCCACATCTACAGCTGATATGACAAAGTAACAGAGGTTACTGATTGAATCCATTCTCTTTAGGTATGTCAAATTCTTTCTTCTTCACTTTTCCACCATCGTCTGAATCGTTTTTTTACCAATTGTTGTTTGATTTGAAGGTTTTCTTTCACATCTCGGATTAACTGTGGTTTCCAACTTCTCTCAAATTTGAATGAATGTCAGTAGATTGCTTGATTTTGAATGCGCCTATCACTACAGAGATTTCCAATCGATCTTGCAGAAAGATATGAGTATTAATTTTTTTCCCATTTTCAGGTTGATTGGAGTTCAATCCTTTGTTGTTATTCATTAACGTGTTAAGGAGATTTTACAATACTAAAAAAATCTGGTTTCTGTTGTAGGAGTTGAATCAATTGCAGTGCCTCGCCAAATTATCAGTCAACATGCTCTGAATCCATTCGCTCCACCCTGTGTTCCCGATACCTGCTTTCTTCATCAGCTCCATCACATGAGGTAAATCACTTTCAATCCTAAAATTTGCTTTATAGATCTTCTACCCACTAGATATTCGATGTAATGCCCATGTGAATTTTATTAATCATCTAATCTCAATGTTTTGTTGGTACAGACAAACATTCCAATACCAAAATGAGTTTTTAAACTGGATTGTTGTTTCTCACTTTGTTATCCCTTTTTAAAGTGATTCATTAATCGATGGTCCAGCTCAAGATAGGTTCTAGGTTACTTCTTTTGTTAGTTAGAGTCTACTTTCTAGACAAAATAATTTCTGTCAGTTGCATAAATTGCTAAAAAATTCTTGAGGAATGATACAAAAAATGACCTGCTTTCAACTCCTATTGTTTTAAAATTAAATTTGGTTCATTTTTATTTAAATCAAGGTTTATTTGAGGCAAGGTACTTCATTTATGTAGAAAAATTTATTACTACAATATATGTTCATAATCATTCTTAAATGAATAGGTGACTTATTGGGACCCTGGATCAGCAAAAAGGGCTTGTGAAGACCCCAACCCCGTGATGGATTGACGAAGAGGTAACTGTAATATCGCATCTGTTGGTCGTTCTCGAGCTTCTCCTCAAGGTTTTGTCACAATCTTTTTAAACAAAACTAAATTATTTAATATGTTTTCTTTAAAGAAAGAGAAATAATTTAATATAATGTGTTTTGATCGAAACCCCAGGAAGGAATCAACGTGGGAATATTGCATTTCAAGGGACAAATACAATGGGCCAAGGTGCATCATCATCTTACAGTGGTGTACCACCACCACCACCACCACCACTTGCTCCTCCTCCGCCACCTCCACCACCACCTTCCGTCATGTATCCACCGTATGGATGAGTTTTTCTTACACTTTTGTGAAGTTTAGGTGAAAAAGCGAACTAAAAAAAAAACATTTATAAATTGATAAAGAAAGTTGGTCTTGACAGAGGATAAGTGGGTATGGGGGCATATATATATATATAGATATAAATGAGTTGGCAACAGGAAATGTTTTGCCAGTGTTCGAATGGCATATACTGTTGACTTTTTTATAATTACTTGTGTTCAACTATCAAACTAACATAATCATAATTCTACACCATGTTTAAACTTTCCACTAAGATCCCTCTAACTCTTATATAATGATAGATAATATGAGCTTTTTTTTTTTTTTTTTTTTTTTTTTTTTTATATAATATAAGATTCTTTATCAATTAATATTCTATTTTAATATACAGATATAAGATGTTATTTTTTTTTTCCTAACAATTGGTTGCTTTATTGCCAAGTTGGCTGCCATTGCAGGTTACAGAAAACTCCAGACAACCTTCAGCTTTTTCAGATTTAAATGGTCCCAGTTAACTCTTTATGTTAATTATATAAACTTATCAATTAGTAATTTTTTAATGAAAAAAAGATCGATTTAATTCGCTGTTAAAATAGGAAAATATATTCAGTTGTTTTTAATTTAGGATTTTGAATCTGCACTTCTTGGTTAAACTGTTTGTTTTATTTACCAAGTTTTTCTTTTCCTATGTTAGTTACTAAAGTGTTAGTTAATTTAGTTATTTCATTTATTTAATGAGCTTTTTATTAAGGAATGTATACTAAATCCGTCTGAATGTGATTGTAAAAGAAGTTGTTAATTTGGGTCATAATTATTTCTTCTACTTGGTATTGAACTTTGAAAAATCTATCTAATTATAGCATTGTACTTTTAAATATTTTTCTAATTAAAACGTTGCAGTTTAACGCAAAAAGGGAAGAAAGTTTCCTTTTTTTGCATCAAGTCACAAAGAAACAGAAAAAGGAAAGTATGTTGCTATTTAACGCAATAAAATAAATTATTTTTCATTTTTACATTAGGTTAGCATGAAAAAAAAAACTAACTTGCCATTTTTTGCATCACGTCACAAAAGAGAAAACAAAAGTGTGGTTGTTGTCTGAAGTGCCTTCTGTTGTTTTGACCATTTTACCCCTGCTTGGTATCTTGCTTTGTTGTTGTCTTCATAGTTATAAACTTTGCCCCTGATTATTTTTCTGGCTTCTCATTGAAGGTGATGGGCATGGTGGTGAATGGTGATCATTGTTATCTAAATTTTGGGGTTTATTCTGAACTGGACTAAGTTGCCCCTACGTTTGCTTTTGGTTTGTTTGCTGGTGTACTTGAGAGTATAGTGCCTCTTCTCTTTCTTGCCCAATTTTACATTGTTATTGTTGGTTCTCCTGAAGCAGTTGCTGCTAATGGGTCGGTGTTGGACGTACTTTGTTTGGCTTGTATGCTGGTGTTTTTCTTGAATGAACTAAGAACTTGAGTTGAAAAACTAGTGCTCCTTTAATTTCTGAGTTCAGGTATATTAGTTTATGAGTTTTATTATTACATGTACACCAACATTTCGAATTCCTATTACTTATGAATATGATTTTTGACTTCCACCATGTTAGTTTCCTTTGTTTTCAAATTTTAGTCGGGAACGTAAAATTTTATGCATGAACTTTGAAGAACTGATGTGTTTGTTTTACAAATATCAATGTACCACCATTGATTAATTAAAGCAAATAGTTATTAAAGTTGGTTGTGGCTATGGAATCATTTAATGAAATTACACTCTTTTGCAGGTTGTACGCTATGCTTTATCCATGATGAATGCATCCAAAGCCAAAGCCAATAAAATAAAAAACAATAAAAAATCGTTAAGCTGAAGAATCATCGAGAGTATTTTGGGATTTCTTTTATGCATATGTCAATTATCGTACAATTTATGTCTTCGAATTATGTAATGTAAAACAATGTACTTGATGTGAACAATTTCAGTTGTAATATGTAATGTTGGTGACGATTGTGTTATTTCATGTATATTCACTGTGATAATATTTCAATTTATAGTCACACGAGCCCCAAGACGTTTCCGCCGTCTGGTTCGGGGGTGTGACATGTTGGTATCAGAGCATTGTTTATAGTGAACTAGCATATCTAACCATACATGATATGCAACTATAAATACAATGGAACTAAAACACTCTGAATAAAATGCATACATTAAAGCTATAACATTAAAAGTCTCTAGAGGAGATGGAACGCTGTGATTAAACCCAGATAGTTATGTTGTTATATTGGGGGTAAATATAGCTTGATCAACTATATTTATTCAAAATATGACCAACATGTGTTTGGGGATAATTATGGGGGGAAGTTGACCTGGAGACTCACCTCATACCCAAAACTTCGCAGGAATTCAAACATAAATAATTAAAATACTATAGGAGTATTTTACTATATGCATACTTGATTAGAATTTTTACGACGTCGTACACCCCTCGTGCAGACTTCATGGCTGGATTTCATCACCCTGGAGATCTCTATTTCCCCAATCAGGGAAATGACGGATGGTCAGAACCCGAAGAAGAACCCAAAGAAGAACCCGAGGAAGAACCGGAAGAGGAGCCTGAAGAAGGACCGGCAGCTCGGATGAGGAAGAGGTGGAGGGCAGTGACTCCGATGACTCGGACACAGGGTCCAAAGTCATCAACCCTTCGTACATGGCCAGGGTGCCCCCACACCGGATGGCCCCAACGGAGCTAATCCCCCATGGGCACACGGCATTTAGAGATGGAGCCGTCAGGCATGGGATGCGGCCCCCATTTGGTATGGATCAGAACTTTTATGATTTGAGTCATGGTGGACCCGCCGATCGGGCCTTGGTAGTGATAGTAAGGAGGAATCGCGATATCGGCAAGCAGGCGCAGGCGACCGCTGGCCAAATTGTGGCCATGAGAGCCGCGATGGAGCGTACGGAGATAAACTCGGCGCACGCCTTCGCATTATCTCGTGTATCAAGGCACAAAAGTGTCTAAAAAAGAAGAACTACGCATTCCTTGCTCATGTGGAAGAGGTTCCCCCTGGATTGCTGATGGGAGTTCCTTTGGAACCTGAGAAGGTTCCCCCTGGACTGCGGATGGAAGAGTGATAATCCTTGAATCGGTTCTTGTGTCAATGTTCTCTATGAGTTCATCATCCGAATCCGAAGATACGTTTGATGGTAATGATTCTCTGCGGATAGGAACTTGAGCAGCATCAAGTACTGGAACCTCGACGGTTTTGCTTGATCCGGAGTAGAGCTTTCCCCCTTAACCGGAGAGGTGGAAGTATTGAGAGATGCTACTTCGGATAGTGAAGGACCAGAAACATCAGCGTGTTGCTGTTGAGCTGCTGGTGACAAGAACTACAGGGTCGAAGAGATCGTCATAATTGACTTCAACAAGATTTAATGGACCCGAAGAGGCAGGAATATCGCTTTCCATGATTGCGGTGGTTTTAGTGGATGGAGGGGTGTTGCGGATGTGAAAATCATCAAATTTCACATCGAAGCTTTCAATGATTAGCCTTGTACGTCTGATGAGGACCCTGTAAGCAACTTTGTTAGTGGAATAGCCAAGGAAGATGCCTTCATCAGACTTCGGTGCAAACTTGTTCAGCTGATCTCGGTTGTTAATCACGAAACATCTACACCCAAAGATATGAAAGAAGCGAACATTTGGCTTGCGGTTGTTAAGGCCCTCATACGGTGTTTTGTTGAGACGTTTGCACACAATGCTACGGTTTTGAACAAAACATGCGGTTGCTACAGCTTCAGCCCATAAGTAGAGAGGAAGGTGTGCGAAGTTGAGCATGGATCTGGCTGCTTCTACTAGAGTGCGGTTCCTTCTCTCTACTACTCCATTTTGTTGTGGTGTATAAGGAGCTGAGAAGTTGTGAGTGATGCCTTTGGAAACCAAGAAACTGTGGAGAAGATGATTAGTAAACTCGGTTCCATTATCACTGCGGATACGTCTTACTGGAAGCTTGATATGAAGTTCAATTTCCTTGATGAAATTGATGAGAATCTGCGGTGTTTCTGACTTGAGTCTGAGGAAGAAGACCCATGTGAAGCGTGTAAAGTCATCTACAATAACCAGTATGTATTTCTTGTGATGGAGACTGGCTACGGTGGATGGACCGTAGAGATCAATGTGTAAGAGCTCTAGTGGTTCAGAGATTGAAGAGACAATCACCATGGGGTGACTTGCTTTGGATTGCTTTCCACATTCACAAGCCGGACAAAGAGTATCGTTGCTGAATTTGAGAATAGGGAGACCTCTGACTAGTTCTCCGGAGACCAAATTGTTGATGTACCTGAAGTTGAGATGAGCTAGCTTGCGGTGCCATAGCCAGCTGACTTCGGATACGGCTTTGGATAGGAAGCACAACTGCGGTCTACCAATGATCAGAGAGACATCCAAAGGATACATGGTACCTTCGGATCGATATTTTGATCAAACATGTGCTCCTATCACTTGTCATTACGTAACAAAATTGATCATCAAATTCAACTCGATGGCCTGCGTTACATAGTTCTCCAACACTTATGAGATTGTGTTTAAGGATTTCTACATAAGCAACCTTCTGAATAGAAAAGTTCCCCGTAGTGAGAACACCGTAACCTCGGATGACTCCATTCGCATTGTTGCCGAATGTGACATTTCCACCATTGCATATTGGCCTGAAATCCCGAAGGTATTCTAACCTTCCGGTCATGTGCAAGGAGCAGGCACTGTCAATTAACCATTCATCTTCTTGTTCCTCCTTGCACAAAGCCTGAGAATTACACGGTTAGTTTAGGCATCCAAACTAGTTTGGAGCCTGGGGGCAAATGGTGAATTTCTGAATGATGCATGGACCGAGGTTGCAGGGACGGGTCTCTTGTCAACTTTTAATCCTAGTCCTGGGTGTTTATGCAGATTTGGAGTGTTGTGAGTTTTTGAAAAAATACGAGGTTTCTGACTCCGACTAGATTTGTCATAGGATGAATCCTTTTGACAACTACACTGACATTTACAAAAAGAGATTTTGTCTTTTGTTCTGACACCATGTTTGGTCAGCGGTCTAAAGGATGAGTTAGGCTTGTGACCGGACCGAGGTTGAAAAGATCTGACATGAGTGTTGTTTGGTTTCTGAAAAGTTTGTTTTGAAAAAGGTTTAGCACGTGTAGATCTTGGTGTTCTTTTTGTTGGATTTGGTAGGATACCCTTCCACTTGTCAAAATTTTGATGTGACTTTAAAAGTGTTGGAGTGGGTAAGATACCCTTCCATTTCGGGTCGTCTGAGGAATAGACTTGAAAAACCATTGTTTTGAAAAGACTTTGCACCTTTTTGGGTTTTGTCAGATGAATTAGGAATGACTGATGAAACTTGACATTCCTTTTTGTGTGTTTTCTTGATAGGAGAGTTTTTTGAAAAGTAGTGTGAGAAAACGAATTTTTCTGCACTCTTGGATTTTGGAAATCTGACATGCCTCTTGTTTTTCGAAAAAGTTTGTCTATTTGTGCCACGGGATCGAATTTCCTCTTTGAAAGCCTTTTTAGCTAAGGATTTTGGTGAATCGCAGTCTTTGTTGTTCAACTGCGGTTTCTTAGAACCTTTTGAAAATTTGTGAAAATGAGGGCTTGAGTCATCAGAACTTGAAGAGTCAGGGATTTGAGAGCATTGACCCACTTCAAAGTTTTCTATGGGTAATTCGTGATAGATTGTTTGAAGAGCGGCAAAACTTTTGTTCAAGGACTGCGGTAGGGATGACTTGACTACCGCAGAGTAAGTCTTAGTTGGGACTGCAGTGGGACTTTTGTGGGACTTTTGGCTATAGTGAGAAACACTGCGGTCTGAGGGTAGAGATGGAAAGTCTTTCGAGACTTCGGGGCTCTCAATGACAATTTCTTCATCAAATACGGATGAGGTTTGAGAATTTGGATAAATGGTGCCACATATAGGAATTTGATCACATGTGTGACCCGAAACCTCAGGCACAATTTCCTCAATGACACAATTATTGCTTAGATTATGCAGTCTACTGAAGTGAGTTTTGATGTCTTCGGGAAAGGTCTTGTCATTGACTGGGAAATGAAATTCTCGGTCTGGAGGGACATACGGTCTGTCTTTGTTGAACCGGGGTGAGGAATCCATTGCGGTAGGATATCCATTTGACCAACCCCAATTGTATGTATTGTCCATGGTTCCATTTTTTACCAAATTTTCAATAGCTTCACTTTCGTTAAACAATTTTTCGATTAAAAGATTTAAGCGTACAATTTCTCTCTGAGCTAAATCTCTCTGGTTCAAAGCTATCTCTAATTGGGTTTCACTCAACATTCTTGCATCTTTTTCTAACTCTAAGTCCTTTTCTAACATATCCATTTTGAGTCTTTTGTTATCCAGTCGCCCTCTCACGTGGAACATCTCTTGGGATGCAATGTTCTTCTCATCTAAGGCTTTGTTATAATCTGTAAGGACGGCATCACAAGTGTCATTAAGATCATCTATGTAGGGTTGACAGTCATGCATGCTATAGTTTAGAGTTTGGATCATAAGTTTTACCTGTTCGATGATGCTTAGAGTTCTATCCTTTTCCATGTAGCAGTAGTTATTGTCCAGCTTTGTAGACCCATCATCATCCGTAGTTGCCAGCATGCAGATTTTCCCTTTTCCTTTGATACTGCTGATGGCTTCATCTTCGTCTCCGGATGACCAAACTTGTGATGGGTTTTAGGTAAAACAAATAAACTAGAAAAACAATTCCTAAGTTCACATGCAACCTACTTTGGATCTATGTTTTAACTATTGAACATACAACTTTGAATTGCAAAACAAGAACCCTAGAGGAGAGAGGCTAATTTCGAAATTAACAAACTAGGGTTTAGGGTTTACATACCTTTCAATTGTTATAGCAAACAATTGATATTCCCTTGATCTTGATCTTGATCTTCTTGGAAGCTTTAGCACCACAAGTGTAATGCCTCTAATGGAATCACACCCAAACTAGCAAGAAGGAAAGTAGAAGAAGAGAGAGGGGAGGGAGTATGCAATTTC